TATAAAAAATTCTGAAATTTAGAACTTATAAAAATTTCTGAACTTGAGAAAAATGGATTTGATGGATGGATGGATTTGAGTAAAGCATACGTTATTTCCAAATCGATAAATCTAAATCTATTTTATCAAAAACCTAATGGTTTTGAGTCGGTTTCCGACGTATGTATTATACGTCGGAAATGTATGTCATTTACGTCTCTGTTTCTGACAGACCATCTCTGTCCGCAGCATCACCAACTTCTGATAACTGCATAATATGTAAAGGGGCATTTGACACAATTTCGGGTCCGTGAATAAAGGATACGTTTCGTCATGTATTGTGTGTATATATTTGAAATTTTTCATTATTAATCTCATGGCCACTGGTTACAGCTATAACCGACACGTGCATTTTTATTAAATTAACATATATTATCTTTGTTGTATTAGTTTGGCTGTAGGCTTTTTAGAAATAAAAAATCGTTTTTGATTTTGATTTTTAATATTTATTATTTCCAATATTTCGATTGGATTCTCCAATCATCCTCAGGGAATTAAAGAAAGTTATGTTGTCTTTAAGTCAACGTTCTTACTTCAACTTGAAGTAAGAACGTTGACTTAAAGACAACATAACAACATAACTTAAACATAACTTAAAGACAACATAACTTTTTTCGGTAGCCCTTACTTCAACTTGAAGTAAGAACGTTGACTTAAAGACAACATAACTTTCTTTAATTCCCTGAGGATGATTGGAGAATCCAATCGAAATATTGGAAATAATAAATATTAAAAATCAAAATCAAAAACGATTTTTTATTTCTAAAAAGCCTACAGCCAAACTAATACAACAAAGATAAACAAAACTAGGCAAACGATACCAACTAATTAACATATATTTTTGTTATTTCGGCAGATAGATTTTTTAGCGTTTTTGTGCGTTTTTTGATTTCTTTAGCTAAAAATGTCATATTATTAGTCATTGTTTGAGCGCTCGAATTCATCATAAGCTTCGACGATTATAAAAAACAACGTTCGAACTTGTATCTATAAAAAATGCTAATAGAAAATCCTTTTACCCGATTACTTGAAACTGCACAACACAGTCACTATTTGTCAAAACAAAGAATATTATTAAAATAAACAAAAACAAAATATTATTGTAACAAAGAATATTATTAAAAGAAACAAAAATAACAACAATAAAATAATTAGAAAAAATAACATGAAAAACAAGAAAACACAACACTCAACAACAGCACCAGCAACGAGATCAATGTGACTTTTAGCTAATTTGACTGCTGCAACACTTGTATTAAACAATGCATAGCTTCTAAAAGGCACAAAAGGGCAGCGTAAAATTTTGCAATATAACACAGATTTATGTCCTCTTTAATATAAACTAAAAATTATCGCACGAGTGTGGACGAATCATAACTATTTATCCATTTAAAGTATAAAAATATTATTTTTTTGGCATTTTCGATATAAATTACTACTTTTAAATCACTTCCAAACACAATTTGATACTCAAATGTTAACGAAGTATTTGCAAAATAACCTAAACTTCATGTTTCAATTGAAAAATGTTTAACTTTTACAATACTTTTTAAAATAAATAAAAATTTCAACGGGAACGTTTTCACTTTTTTCAGCTTTTTTTGGCACACAAATTTCTATGAAGTTTGACTTTGAAGTTTCACTACAAAAACACCAGTCCACTTTTGACATTTATTTTAACGACAAGTGACGTAGAATTTTATATACTTTAACAGTGTGCAAAAATTTTTAACGATACTTAAAATTTCATTTTTTAATTAATCCAAGAAAACAGGGTGTTCTAACCCACTGTGCAGCGTACTGAACGTAGTCTAGAATGATGTGTGTTAAGTTTCGTGAAAATCGGTCCACGTTTAGGCATACCTCCCATATGAGGGTACCCCCAAAGTTTCAATATTTTGGGGTTCTTGAGCCCGTTTTTCAATCGAATTCACTGAAATTTAGTAAAATGGGTTCTTTTTCGATACCAAATTTCTTCACTAAAAAGCATAAATATAGGTTCACTTTTTCTGGTAGCCCCCATATAACGGTACCTCACAATTTTCAGTTTTTGGGGGTTTTGACCGTATTTCTTCACCGTATGGGCTGTAATTTAGTACTTTGAGTTCTTATTGGGTATCAAATCTCTCCACAAAAAATTATAAATATAGTCCATTTTTTCGGGTAGCCCTCATATAAGGGTACCCACAATTTTCGGTATTTTTGGGTTCTTGAGCCCGTTTTTCAACCGAATTCGCTGAAATTTGGTACTTTGAGTTCTTATTGTGTAGCAAATTTCTCCACTAAAAATTATAAATATAGGTCGATTTTTTCGGGTATCCCCCATATAAGGGCACCCTACAATTTTCGGTATTTATACCCTTCACCAAACTGTGGTACAGGGTATTATGTCTTTGTACGTATGTTTGTAACAGGCAAAAAGAAACGAGATAGACACATGGTTCCTTTTGAGAATATGCATAGAATCAGTTTTTAAGTCGATTTAAACATGTCCGTCTGTCTGTCCATGTGAAATTGTAAACAAAGTACAGGTCGCATTTATTATTTGAATTGCACGAAATTTGGCACAGCGTACTGAATTAAGCCTAAAATGATGTGTGCTAAGTTTCATGAAAATCGGTTCAGATTTATATATAGCTCCCATATATTTTTTCGTCCGATTTAAGGTAAATGGTGCACCAATGTCCAAAAATATCTTTCGATTTGCACGAAATTTGGTGAACATAGTCTAGAATGATATGTGTTAAGTTTCCTGAAAATCGGTTTAGATTTAGATATAGCTCCCATATCTATTTTTGTCCGATTTTAGGTAAATGGCGCACCAGAGTCTCTATATATCTTTCGTAATGAACTTAGTATAACCTATAAGTTAGATATAAATTCTGCACCGAATTTCGTCAGATTTTAAGTAAAATGTGCACCAAAGACCCACAGTTATATAGTTTATATAACATAGCATGTGGAAAGTTTTATTGAAATCGGTTCAAATTTGGATAGAGCTACCATACATATTTTCTCCCGATTTTAAGTAAATAATGCACCAAGAACTCAAAATGTGGCCGAAATTCTGTGACAAGTTTCGATGAAATCGGCTTAGATTTCGATATAGCTTTTATAAATATTTTCGTCCGATTTGAAGTAAATGGTGCACCAAACTCCTCATGTTTATCAGATATGTATCCAAATAATCAACGGGTATCCGACTGATATATGCTTTAAATTGATTTACATAATTTTGTCCCATTGTAAGAAGCAACTCTATATCTGACCAAATGAAAACTTTAGTACAGGTCGCAGAAAGATATGTTTATGGGTCCAATTTAGTTTTACTGATCCTTAAAAATGCGACGTCTGTTAAGATTCATTTGTTGAATATACCCAAAGTGGTGAAGGGTATCATATAGTCGGCCCCGTCCGACTTTACTACTTTCCTTACTGGTTTAGTACGGAGATGTGCTATGCAATGAGAACCCCAAATAATAAATTTCCGCCAAACGTGTCCAAAATCCTCTACTTACTTAGCTGGCTTGTGACAGAACTTTCTTTCCATAAGCCGAGCTTAAAACAGATTTCCAGGCACGTCTGTCTTTTGCGCAGGCGGTACCAGGGTATATAAAATCTTTGACTACCTCGAAACTGTAGTTCTCAAGTTTCACAGTTGGTCCGAGTGTAATGTCATCAGCGTAGGCGAGTAATATATGCTGTTTGGTGTACAGAGTGTGATTTCTGTTCACCTTTGCGTCACTTATGACCTTTTCCAGGGGGATGTTAAATATATCGTACGACAAACTATCACCTTGTCTGAATCCTCGTTCAGTATTGAAGGGTTCCGATAGGTCCTTTCTGACTTTAACTGCTGACCTTGTGTTCGTTAAAGTTATCCTGCATAGCCGAAAAAACACCTCTGAACGGATAGGGCTGTCGAATGCGGCTTTATAGTCGACGAATAGGTAAAATGTGTCGGTGTGTTTTTCGTTGGGCTTTTGCAGGTTTTTCACAGCGTGAAAATGTGGTCAATGGTGGATTTGTTGCATTGGTATGGTCCAATAATATCATTGACCATTGGTTTCAGTCGTTAACACAGCACAGCCGCTGAATAGTACTTTATATACGATGGGAAGAAGACTAATTTCTCTATAGTCGCATATATTGTCTCCTCTTTTGTGCACGGAACACAGGATACCGATTATTGGGAGCTATGAATCCTAAATACCAATTTAAATCTGATTGTTTATACCCAATATATGAGGTTACGGTTATATGGCGCCTATACCAAAACGTGGACTTATATACCCCATTTGCAATACAAACATCCTAGGAGTAACAAATATGACAGTGTAAAAATGTCATGGTTATATCTCAAATATTTAGATCTCTATCGTGATTTCAACAGTTCAACAATCGACATAGAATATTATTCTGATCAAGAATATATATACTTTATGTGGTCTCCGCTGAATATTTCTATGCGTTGCAAACGGAGTGGCAAATTCAATATACACCTTACCTTATGGTGGAGGTTATAATAAAAAAAAAACATTTTCCATTTGGAATACCTGAATTTGGTATTCCAGGTTCTTCATAAATAGTTCTAAGCCGAATTTTCATGTCTGTATGTTTGCCGATCTTGCCGTCTGTTGATTGCAAACTGTGAAGATTTATGAGCCCATGTTATTGTATAGCCTCCATATAACGTTGGATATTCGGTATTTTTGGCATTTTTACTTTTTTGTAAATATTATTAACGTATTTTTATAGTTATTAATCTTTTCCAGTTAGATTTTTCGAAATCCACCCAGGAAATATTGAACGAGTCTTTGCAATTAACATCAAACAAAAGTTAATCTTATTAAATTACTCATATATACAACATTAAATATATACTTACACATGTACATATGTTTCTTTGACAAGTTCTAATAATAATAAAACTCAATTTTATTTCTCTTTCTTTCTTGCAGAACTTTGAACCAGTACCATATCCCAAAAATAACTATGGCAAATTTTACACTGGTGACTCCTTTATTGTCTTAAATGTAAGTATCTTCAAACTGACACACACATAGAGGCACACCTATACATGAACAGTAACACAAAATAAATATTGGTAAAAGTTTTTATGAATACAGCGAATATACAAATTTCGCATAATAGTTGAACATAACATAATGCAGTTTTCACCTTTGTCCTTTGAACTTCGCTCATTTTTTTGAACACATACACACACAGCCGTTTAGTTCTTTTTTGTATGCTATGTGTAAAAAAGTGAGAACATATATAGTAAAAGTTTTGGAAACAGTTCCGGTTCTACTCCTTAGAGGGAGAGAGACTATATTTGAATAACTGACTGAACAGCGTTAGGAAGTAGAAAACATTTCGGAAATTTTGTAAATTTTTATTGGGTGTAGGAGTTTATTTTTGTGTGTTCAACTTTTAAGTATTACAATGTTAGTTTTGGGTGGTCTGAGGAGAAAGAATTTAGGGGATTCTTTTATTGAGTTAAAAATTAGCGAATAAATTTACATATATATATATACCAATATTTGACGTATATAACATATGAAACCGAAGTTGATAATAAAAATAAAAAAAATATACTATTCGATCAAATGAAAAGTTGTTGGACTGACACTTACGGGCATGTTCTGGCATTCACTTCAACGGTAGAAGTGTATAGAACTTGCGTCGAACATTTCTGTAGCACACTTTACGCCCTTTTGATGTGAATTCTTCAATTCACGTGATAAGCAGAAAAGAAGATAATTTCTGAGGGGCAGTCTATGTGTAAAGTGTAAAAAACACATCGTGTGTTCCAGAACATAATCGGTGTCGTCTGATCATAGTTTATAAATTACAAAATGTTTAACCTTGACGAAGGATAAGTCGCAATAAAAATAAGTTCGGATGGAGACGACTGAATTATATCTCATAAACCAAAACTTAATACAGGTCTTTATACCCTCCACCATAAAGTAAGGTGTATATTAAATTTGTCATCTCCGTCTTCCTGTCAGCAATAGTTAAGACGGAGAACACTAAGACTACTCCTAGAATGTGTGGTAATGTGGTTCACGTTTTGATGTAGCCCCCATATAAAAGTACCTCTAAATATATTTTTACTTTTATCATTTTATCAATAAATCGGGAGAAAAATTATTTGGGAGCAATATAATTATTCAATAGGTTTCGAACTTGGGCCAAATAACAGCCCCTTGTCTAATTTCATATCAGTTGGATAATAAATGGACAACCATAAATCAATGTTGACTAAAAAACAATGACGAGTTGATAATTTGTAGATGTGGTTAGGAATTTTGATAATAACAAAAACATTGATGCATTAATTCACTACGAAGTTTAATTTAGTCATCCTAGTGAACGGAAAACGATGTGCCCATCTATATTTTGAATTTAATGCAGAAGTAAGTGTTGTTTTGTCATGACAACAAACAATACCTCAAGTCAGTTAAAATGATGACAATATAATTCATGAATTGGTCTTTGGCCCATTTAGTAATTTTCGTCGAAAGAATGGCTTTTCGTCGAAACTTAAACCAATGTTAATGCCGATTCTGTTATACGCAGTGAAAACAGGCTTGTGTCTAACACCATCGCATAAAAACTATAGGTATTTATAAACCGATGCCTCAGGATCATATACAGAGTATTCTAGCCCAACGCCAATGTAGAGTTGTGGAACCTAACGAACCAGGAATCTATACAATAGCAGATTAAACATGAAGATGGATTGGCAATACCTTGTGAAACCAGTAAGGAAAATTCCATAGTCGAACGGGCCAACTGCAGTACTCTCTGCAATATTTCAGCGAACATATGCTCCTAGGTACACCATTTGCATGAAATTGGACGAAAATTTGTGTGGGGGCTATACCGATTTCAACAAATCTTCACAGACATCAAACTGGACCTAATTTAGTACGCTGTGCAAAATTTTGTATTGGGAGTTTGGTGCCCCATTATTGGGAGTTTAGTGCCCCATTTAGATAAAATCAGACTAAAATTTATAAATCTGAACCGATTTTCTCCAATTTCAAAAGTGCTCGTCTTTGGCTTTTGCCAAATTTCATCCAAATCGGATCATATTTTGTTCAGAAGAATACATGGACCGACGGACATGCATAAATCGACTCAGAATGTGCTTTAAGCATATTCTCAAAATGAACCATGGATTTATCTTGATTCCTTTTGCCTGTTACAAACATATCCACAAAGACATAATACCCTGTACCACAGTGCGGTGATGGGTATAAAAACGTCCATAGTATAACAAGATACCTAATCGAGGACAGATATTGATAATTGTTCTAAGGCAAATACTACTCCCAAAGAGAACCCACAACATAAAATTAGAGCCTATTCGGTTGAAAACGTAACTAAAATCCCTAAAATACCAATCTGTGCGAAATACCATTATATGGAGCTACCCTGAAACTTGGGCTAATATTGACACTTTTTGCCGCAACATTTTCTACTCAATGATAATCCAAAAATATAAAATTAAAGTTAATTAGGTTAAAAACGAAAATCGAACCTATTCTAAAAAATATTTTTCACCCTACAAAAACCTGGAATACCAAATTACAGTCTTTTGGCTAAAATTTTCCAAATACAAAAAATGTTCTGTGAAATTGATATGATTTTATCTAAGGCTGAAGTAAGCTCAGTCACAGCCAAGGTCAACTCAGGGATCCACAAACATTTATTGAAATACTTCAATGTTTAGATTGGGAGTAACATTCGGGATCTTCAATGCAATGGAGTTATTAGATTTTTTGGTTATCCTTTCGCTACGTTGGAACTAGTTCCGTTGGGCTGATTGAGGTATAACTTGTGGCTGTAATTGGCTTCTAGTTGTAGATAATAGGCTCTGATTATGGCAGTCGGTTGCAGGTGTATAGTCGATTTCGATTGTGTAGTCTGTAGGAGTTGTAGTAGGACTGGTTGACGCAGTTGGAGTTTAGGTAATCGGCTCGGATTGTATTAGTCGGCTTGCATTGTAGCAATCAGTACGGATTATATTAGTCGAATCAGCTTGTAGGAGTGTGCTAGGATTGAAGTAGTCGGCTCGGAGTCGACTCGTATGGCATTAGTCGGCAGTAATCAGATCGTGTTATGAGAAATCGGTTCGGGTTGTAGGAATCGGTGGGACCCTTCGTCACACTCCTTCTGAAACGAGAAGAGTTACATAGGAGAAGCGGCCGAATTGCAGTCGCCCACTAGAGAGAGAAGCGAATTAATCGCAAATCGAAGGCCTCGGATAAGCGGTACCCCGAAACACGTGCCAATATTGATAATATTTGGTACGGACACTTTCTGCCCAAGTAAAATCAATTCCGTTTGAAAAATCTTTACAATTTCTCATACTGCGAGGTACCGTTATATAGGGATACCCTAAATAGCGAACTAATATTGAACATTTTCAATACCAAATATCGTACACAGAAAAAAAGCCACCCCGAAATTTTTGATTAAAAGCTTCATCAGCGTTCGACAAAAAGATGTCGATAACATATTTCAAACGTAGTTTAGAAATGTAGAAATGTTTATCAAACACCAACAATTCACAAAAAAACCATCAACAAACGAGTTTGACCAAAAAAATTATTAAATTTGTTGGACAATTTTTAATAATTTTTTTGTAATATGACATATTATTTTTTATTACGTTATTACAAAGTACTTTGTTGAATAGATTGTAAAAGATGGATAACAAATATAAGTTTTTATTCAGCAACACCGATAT